GCCATATTCTAGCTCATGAGGGAAGAGGAGGGCTCAGACCCATTAGAGGGGCAACAGTCCTCCCTATTTGGACATACACACAGAAGGGGAGAAATGGGGCTAAAAGATGTTCCCTATGCTACTGATTCCCCACCCCCTTCCTATTGTCCTCCACTCCCCCCAGCTTCCCTGAGCCCCCAGTCTCTCTCTCCTCACCACTTCCCTCCCCTCGATTACCCCTTTATTGTCTTCCCTTCTAGGAAGTATTTCTACTTTTTTCCTGAAAGAGATTGATTGCATCTCCTCTTTTCCCTGAATAAGTTGCCATCCTTGACTCACAAATTATAGCAACCTCAGGCCATCCAGTTAAAAATCTCTTTAACATGTGTCGGGCTTGTGATTAATATACCTTGGGCTAGATTAACTGAAAGGTGAATTCACAGCCCTCAGTTTCAACAAGATATGTGAGTCATCCAGTTATTAGTACCTCAGTGGAACAGTACAAAGCAGTGGAAAGAAACTAATTTTATGGGGAGCCCTATAGATTGGAATCCCCTTTGTCCAATAACCCAAGTCTGGATCACTCATGAGGCAAATGAAACTTAAACGTAATCTGATTAACTGTTTGGATTTTAGAATACTTACAAGAGTTGAGCTTTATTGCAGGGCTACTCAACACGTGGCCCACGGCCCGTCTGTTTGCGGCCTGCAGTGCGGCTTGGGTTTACGTGGGGCTCAGCATGCGGCCCGCAGTTGGGAGCCAAAACAAAAAAGTAATCAATATAATGATCTTCTGTTGATATGTGTTTCAGCAGTTAAATTCCAGGACTGTCTTAGCTCATTAAAAGTGCTGTCATATGGGTGGAAATCTTGCATTTTATTAATATCAGTTGAACTGACTTAAATGGGGCCTGTGTGTTGTGTTGTAGTTTTGCCTCAATCTTTGTATTCATGCCCATCAGTGTGAAAGAAGCTATTTGCATATATATTCGCATATATATGCAACCACACTTAAGTTGTGGTCCTCAACATGTGCTGTGAGTATCATTGTGGCCCCCGGGGCTTCCAAAGTTGAGTAGCCCTGCGTTAATGCATATACAACGGTCAAAATGGAAATCCTTTAGCTATTTTCTGTTTTGGCATGTGCATACTGTAAAAAAGTGTGTTTTCTTTGCCATTCTCAATTTGGGTTCCCCAAAGATTTAGTAGGTGCCATGCACTATCTTGAGGCCATTCTGGCATGCATAATGTCAGTAGTCTGGCTTCTAGCTCTGGTTGTTTTTTTCACGACTTGTAGCTCCATGTTCTCTAGCTTAGCTGACTCCAAATTTGAGTCACTAACCCTATACTGCACCATCCTGAGGCACAACAAATTTGATATGAATCTGACTAAATATGTCCGTTTTAGAGGATTTGGAAGGGTTTAAACCGAAGTTGTGAGGTAATCTTAACTGTAACAGTGCTATCACATCGTAAAACTTCCAGAGTGAAATCTCAGTTCTTTTAAATTTAATGGAAGTGTTTTTTCTCTTGTTTTGGGGGGAGTAACCATCTGTTACTAAGGTATCACTTTTTAATAAACACTTCCAGTGCATCTTTTAATGGTTAGTTCTTGGTTTTCTTGATTGTTTCTTGTCTGTAATTCCTTTGACACAAGATGATTAGAGCAGCTTAATTTACAAGACAAGGCTGTATATGTTACACTTTGCAATAGTCTGCATGTCA